TCATTACGGGAAATTTTGAATAATAAAATCTTATCTGGGGCCTTTTTTTCTCGGGGAAAGAGTACCCTACAAAGACAATAGTCGTGCGTAGGAAATAATTAGCAAAAATGATATTAGTGACGCACAAACAGAAGCAGAAACACTCCAAACAAGGGGATGGGGAAAAAGGGGGGGGGGGGAGGGTTGTGTGAGATTACACGTCAGCTATTTCCGGAGCTCACTGTTTTCCACTGCGCGCGTAGCAAAAACAAAAATGCATGCAAAAGCGACGCGGCCACATGCGACTCAGTCAATCACTTCACCTCCAACTAATCAATACCCATTAAATACATAGTAAAATTCGACAAACAAATGACATTTTGAATGTGAGCATAGCTGGTGCTTATCGGGGGAAAAGAAAGGGCAATCGAAGCACAGACACACACACAGCACAGCTGCCTCGCTCCTGCTCTCTGTGCACCACACAGAGCGCGAGCGCTGCTATTGGCGTCATTGTCCCCCCCCCCCCCCTCCTCCACCTGTCATTTCTGGAGACAAAGACATTTTGAGGCAAAAACAAATCCTAGATCCTACGACAAATGTGTAACCACGGATTTTTTCACAACACGGACTTTTTTCATAACCGATAAGAAAGTATAGTACATGCGCACACTCAACTCTCTTCCAAACAACAATGGCGCTGGCGCTGGGGCGCCGAAATCGCAGTGGGGCGTGGTATAACAATAGGATTTTCAAAGTCAACTTCTTCAAATCAAAAAAAAGCAAATTAGCAACAAAAGAGAACCGCTTGGCACAGGATGAACCCCCCGCCAACGACAATGGCGCTGGCATTGGGGCGCCGAAAACGCAATGGGGCGTTATAACAATAGGATTTTCAAAGTCACAAGTTATTCTCTAAATTAAAAACAAAAATGCAAATTTTTCGCAATGAAAGAGAAACCGCTACCCCCACAGAATGCACTTTAATCAAATTAATTTCAAAAAGTTTCCCACACCTGAAATTTGCACTCGCCCACTCGGCTACCCCCCCCCCCCCCCCCCCATGTCTCCCCCTCATTTGTTCTTTAATATGGACAGCTGCGAAATTACGTCAAACTATAAGTTTCAAGCAAATACAGACCAATGACAAATCAAAAAAGAAAAGGAAAAGGAGTGAACCCCACCCTTCCTTCCTCTAAATCGACAAAGTGGTGCAATTGCACAATATCTACGAAATTATATGCACATGATAACAAAAAGAAAATAACATAAGTGAAAATTACACTAAAAACGAGATTTATGTAATCTTTGATTCAATCGATTGGCTCCGAAAAGGAGGGGCTTTGTGACCTGATTAAGGCCGCTCGCGCATGCGACGCGGTCTGCATCTCTCTCTCGCGCGTGCTCTCTAATCATTCTCTAGCCTTAAATAGGTCACGAAACCCCGCCTTCCAGCCGCCATTCCGGTTGAATCAAAGGGTAGATTCATGTCCCTAGAAGCGAAGACTGGATATCGTAGAACTATCTTGAGTGCGTCCAATAGGAAAAATTGACACGAAAATGTAAGCCTCTTGCCAAATTTTGCTCCATTCAAAAATGAAACAAATTACCTATAACCTAAACAGTATCGACTCGATCAGCAAGCACTCCAACATACTTGTTTTTTCATACTAAATAAACAAAAGCAATGTTCATTCATACAGAACTAGACACAGCTGTCCTAATTTCATGTGCTTTCAACCAGCCACAAATTCCCACTCACACAAACAGTCAATAAAATCAATTATTCGAGGTATCGAGGTTCTTTAACACAACAAAATGAAAAAATGATTGAAAAAATCGTCCTATATGAAAAAATTATTGAATTACTGTAAAACATGCTGGTTGAACAGTTTGGTGGAAGAAATCAGAATCCAGCACGAAGTGGCTTCAAAGGAATTGAAATAAAATTGCTGATTTCTCGACATGTTTATTGAACTATTCGGTGGAAAATAGCAAAATTCAATTGGAAACTGAAGTCAAACATGTTTCTAATTTATCCACTAAATTCGAAAAAAAATTTTAAAATTCAACCAATCATAAAAAATCTAAATAGCTAGACATTAGCAATTTAATGAGTACAGGTAAGAGATAAGGTGGCACAGAACTGTCAAAGCATCAAGGCTATTTAGATTTTTTTACGACTGGTCAGATTTGAAACCTTTTTTTTTGAATTTAGCGACTAAATTGCCTATTTAGCAGCAAAATTTCACGGACCTTTATTACCGGAAAAAAGTAGATCCTAGGCTGTATTACGGTAATTTTAAGAAAACCAGTAGCTACAGACATTGAAATTTACTAATGCAGAGAAATTCATAAAGAATTAGAGCATCTTTTCTTATTCGCTAGAAGAGCACATTCCAGACATTTGCGAGCATTAGAGCTGATTTGAGCTAAGTAATGGGAAATTGCTTTTTTTTTTTTGGAAAGGGCCATTTAGCATATCAAATCATGAAAATTTCCGCAAATCCAGCAGTGAAATTTCAGCTCAAACACGGAAGATGTATTTTCTACACTTTGCGATAAAAGAATAATTTTTTTAGAAAGGAGCATCCCAGAAGCTTCCTGAGCATCTAATTACAATGACGTGCGCTATAGAGGCTAACACTGAAAATGAAAGACTTCACCTAGGATCGATAAAACACTTTGATATGCAAATGGGATATAGGATCTTGAGTGCTTTTCCAAACTCTATTTATATGCAAAGCAAGCAGTAAAAATAAGTAGACATTCCACCTACGTCATCGGTAACGCAAAGTGTATGAGTTCATTATAAAAAAGTAATAGAATTCAAGAATTCGTTAAAGAAGGCCGATAGTGCATTAGAGATCGCGCTAATGCGAGTTTCTGAAAACAACAGGAAACGTATCGGCATTGCGTTGACAATAAAGTAATCAGAAAAAGTCATGATAGAAGATAGATTGTTGTTCTTCAGGAAGTTCGCTTATCTTGACAGAAAAACACAAAAGGAACTGGAAAAATGTTTGTTAATGCAAAGGAAATAACGTCAAATTCGTGGACTCTTGAACCTTGATTTTTCGCGCAAATTTCGCAAATTTCTTTTCTGGGCGTTCAATATGAAAAAAATTGTTTCCCACATTTCTCCCACGGACGAATTTACAAAGTTTACTGCGAAGACAAACGACGGTCGCAGAACTATCAATTTAGAGATAAACCACTACCTATTGAAGGAGAAAATTTTTGAAAAGGAAAATGCAGAAAAATCAACTTGGAATAATAATGCTTGATGTAAAGAAAATGACGCAAAATCTTTAAAGCTATAGAACCTTGATTTCTCTGGAAGAGAAGCGATTTTGATGTCATTGAACATGTCCTTCCGAAAAAAGTTGATTTCCAAGATTTCTCCGTAGCCAAAATTCACAAAATTTACCGCAAAATTTGCGAAATGGCCACGGAACTAAAATTTTGAGGAGGAACGTCCAGAAATGATAAATAAGAGAGTGGACACACGAACATCTTCTCTCCCCAATGGCTTCGCTCTCTGAAGAGGAGTGGATAGATGTGACGATGCTACGAAAAGAGAGAGAGCAAAGCTCGTCCAAAGAGACGCAGGTCGGCTGCGATTGGGCAAACCACTCGACACTAATCTGGCCGAAGCTAGTGCAACTTTCGCGTCGTTCGTTTGCCCTAATCAACGAAACAGCAGCAGACCCTTCACTCTTGTCTGACTGTGGTCAAATTGACACTAGCGAAGCTTGTTGCTGTCAATTTGATGAGAGCCGATCGACATGAAGGTTGCTAAGACATAAACATATGGGTATGGCTGCTTATTAAATCTATTCCTAGCGCCGAGCCTCAGTCGCGTCGACTATCCGCGAAAACACTCTTTGTTGAGATTGAAGGGGAATAAAATCAAAGTAATGGCCGAGTTTGTGAGTCCAAATGCACATATAAATCATTAGGATTGAATATTCAACCTCTTGTCGTACCAAAAATTAAGAAAGCAGAGTAAATTCATGTTAAATGAGTGGATCAACTTGACATAAAGTAATTCAAAATTGCTCATGGGAAAAGTTCCAAGACAGGGTCCAAGCAGATCTGAGCAGCTGGGGTCAAGGCACTGCTCAATCGACAGCAAAAACGATTTATTCATCATGAAATTTGAATCTAAACCCTAGCCCAGATCGTAGCCCTTTCCCCAAACTACGGTACTTTACACCTCGGGTGATACTTGACTGGTCTCGTTTATCGAATGCAGGACCAGTAGTAGAGAACAGTTACTCAGCCCGAGCTTCATAGTTCTTGCCGTACTACCGTGGATATTACTCCAATACGAGATATGCGAATTCTTTTATATAGCCTTGGTCCATAATTTGCAGCTCCAACAGTATTGCCATTGGTGTTCCGAGCTCTATAGCTCTCACTCATACCGTACTCATTTCAATTTCAAGGTACGGTAATCAATATCTTCCCTGAATGTGGATCCAATGAACTAATGCAAATGTTTTTCATCTTCAGTATTTCGACGACTTCCTCGCTCGGGAACCGATGAATCTGTAGACTGAGAATGGTTAGCTTAAATTCTAGAGTCTTCTGAGCGATATAAGTTCTAACTGCGTTTGGTAGGGCTGCTCTCCAACAGAGTGGGAAAAGAACAGCACTCATCATTTTCCTTTCCAGATTCGAGATCCAGGTTTTTTTTTTCGAAAAAGTAGCCGACATCAATTATAATCAAATTTCCAACAAATCTACATAAGACAAACTAGAATAACATTAAAGTCATTGTCACAGCCACTTCAGACAGATTCGATGCTAATTATACGATAATTATCCCAGGCTCTCCAAACTAATGCTGCACTTCCCAGTTGTCCTCCAGACAGAGAACCAGCTGAGCCATGTGGAGACGCAAAATTGTTCCACAAATCACACTTACCAGAACGTATGCGCAAATAAAATGCAGACGCTCGTGGCTATAAATCGACCAAGGGCTGTTTCTACGGAATAAAAGACATTTAACCAACCGCACGGTGTCTTCGCGTCATCTCTTAGCGGTAGTACCGTTATCGCACTATTTTCGGCCGTTGAAGTGGTTCGGGCTGGAAATGATTTTGATTGATGCACGGTTGGAGGCGAAAAAAATAAGCAAAAAAAGAGACTCGCTCCAAATTTGGAGCCGTGCGAAGTCCTTCAATGAGTGGAAGCAAGAAAAAATGAGTAAATACCGTGCTTATCCTTCCGCTCCAACTTCGTCGCTCCGGTCGCTGAATGTCGCATTGACAGAGTGCTCGTTTTCGATGTCGCACCTACTGGCTCACATCCTGACATCGATGGACGTCGGGCGGCAACTGTCGAGTAGTATTCCTAAAATTTTTGTCCATTTGAGATTTAAAAAGAATTTTGTACATTTTCAGTCTCCTGACCTTCCACCCTTGTATGAAATTCGTACACGCAAGTATATCTACTCGGTCCAGAAACCCAAAAAAACCCTATCCTCTCCCCCCCCCCCCTCGTCCTCCCTCCTCAAAGTCCATATGCCCCAGACCCAGTTGATCCAAAAACTCGAAGTGGATTTTATTAACTTTGCCCAGACCCTAAATTACATCAACCGTAATTCCGTATAGCGGAAAATAAAAAATTTATACACTGCGCTCTCCCTTCCCTCCCACAAAGTCGGTATGCACAGTTATGCCCCAGTTGATATTTTTTGAAATGGATTTCACTGGAAGTCTGCCCAAACCCCACAACATAGCTACTGTAACACCAGGTAATTGTTGCCAGGTGAAAATTAATAGAACTCGCATCGAACACAGAAATTTATTTTGTTAAAGCTTTGTTGACATTGTTAGAAAAAATTAGTCAAGAAGTCGCATTGATTCGCCCGTTACAATTTCCTAGGGCTACGGTAGGTATGCGGTATTTACAATCTGGAATCCGTTCAACGTTGTCTATAAGAACTTCCAGCTGTTTACCATTGTGTTGTCAGCATTTTTCAACACTTTCTAAGCAAATGAATGGCACACCATACCAATATACTTCATTTCAAACCATTAGCTACCGTATACCCACCGTACCATCTCTCACATCAGTGAAAATAACCTCACATTCTGTGGTCGCATAGTCGTGTCCGCCGACATCGTTTTCGTCGATGTCGAGTGATGCAGCTGAGCTTGTGATGATGACAGCGATGAAGGCTTCTTCATCGTTGGGACGGTCGCGACAGTGGCGGCAGCGGCGGCAGCAGCGGCAGCAGCGCTGGCGGCAACCGCTTGTTGCCCTTGTTGCTGTTGTTGCGCGAATTGCATTTGATTAAGCTGTGTCATCAACTGCTGCATCAATGCCGGTTGCACACTCCAGCTTCTGAAAACATCAATCAAGAAAATTTAATTCAAAAATTCATGAAACTATTCAATCGTAGAAATTCAAACTGAGCATGAAAATTTTTACAAGCAAGTAGGATAAATTTCTTTTAAAAATTAAAAACGGGAGCCAAACTAAGCCCCGAAATGTGAAAATTAAATGTTCACTGTATAAGGCCTGTAAACAAGCGTGCAATTTGTCGAAAATTTCAATAGTGCAGTTGTACTAATGTTGCAATATAATTTCTGACATTAAAAAGTTCCCAAAAAATTCATTATTGAATGAGAATTCGATAATCGTAATGTAGCTAAATAAATTCGTTGATAAAATGGCATTCATAAAGTGCAAAAGTGCGCATGAAGAGTTCTTGCTGGGGAAGAAAAATCGATACTTCATCTGAGGCATCCGAAAATTTTATTCTGCACATTTGAATTTGAGTCACTTGCAGATGCTTCGACTATTTAATTTGCAATAAATGACAGGTTACGTAAGTTTGCTGATGTTCTGTAACAGCACAAACTATTTTTGTCACGCCTATTTTGAAAAATTTTTGGATGGCCAGATCTGACAGATGCAAAAAGTTCATCGTTTTCTTACTCCAAATCAGCAAATCTCAATATTTTACTTAGAATTGCAAGAAATAAAAATAAAACCTTAGCTATTCTGGAAAATATAAGCAGATATCTGAAGAATAAACTGTTCACATAATCAGAACTTTTCAAAAGCTAAAATATTTTTGAACAAAAGCAACATTATCACTTTTTGGTAAAACACAAATGACCCACTGAAAACCGCATTTCAATTGTCAAAACTCGAAAAATCCAATTTCCAGCAAACAAGACCACCAAACGCTAGAGATCCAAATCAAAACTGAAACTGTAGAAGATGGAAAAATCATTTCACTGATATCTACGAAACCAAAAATTATCATCACAAAACCACACCAACGCAAACGCTGACGAAATTCGATCGATTCCATTACTAATCCGGGAGCGAAAAATTTCCCGGCCTATTATCGAGTCACATTCGTGATCTCAATGGTACCACCATTTGGCCCCGCACTAGTCATTGATTCTCCATAAAATTTCCAATACTTCGATAACTGGCATTTTGCCAGGTGCACGGTAATTCATGGTAGGGATTTCTTCGTTTCGGAACAACCTGCAGTATTGCGGACAGATATTGTACTTTTATGACCTATTCGTATCAATTTTATTGAGGGGGGATCTCCATGAACCTTGGACTATGATCTAGGGGCCACAAAAATTCCTTGTACTTCATCTATGAACAAATCTGCCATTAAAAAAAAGGAAAAAACATGCACTTTGAAAAAAGCAAACAGAAGAATGTCGATATGCATTTATGGATGCAAAAATGTTTTGGAAAAAGTTAAAAATTTTTTGAAAAGTCTCATCTCCTCCCCCCCCCCCCCCCAAAAAAAAAGCTCAAGCTGAAAGTAACTAACCCAGCTGCTGCTTGCTGTAATTGCCTTAGTTTCTCTTGTCGTAATAGTGCTTCATCCATCGCCGTCGTTGCAGGTGTCGGCGCTACCGTAGCCGTGGGATTTATTGGTCCCATTTGTTGCAGTAATTGCATCAAAATCGGTAGAATATCCTCGGATATACCCATTTCTGGCCCTGCAATGGAAATTACGGTAATCCTGATAGGGTAATGAGGACTTAAAGGTGATCCCGATAGGGTAATAAGGACAGTAGAAAGACAAACCTCGTCCACGTTGCTGTGCTAAATCATCTCGAGCAGTTCCTGTTGGCGCTCGACCGACTATACCCGGGTAGAGCCTGAAATACCATGAATTTCGCGCATTTACGGAATTTTTGCGAATTTTTTATTGTTTGCCGAAAACTTGAACTGCACCGAAATTTTATAATTTGGAAATCGATGCCAGTGTTTGGCCTATAATCTTATCTGTGGCGGTACTCAACACTTCGCAATCCCCGATCGGGAGCTCGTTCATAATGTAAAACAGCGCCCGAACAGAGATCGGAAAATTGATAGATACTCCCAGACACTGTTCAAGATGCCTCAACTAAAACATGCCTAAGCGCGAGCTCCTCGAATCATCTGTGGCGGAAAAGAAGCAACTTCGACTTTTGCCCATACCGTACTCTGTCACCAAAACTCCAACGGCCCACTCGTAAAGAGTACGGTCTGGGCGAGATTTTAGAGCTGCATTCCTCGGCCACGAATGAATCATATGAGATGGCGTTCGGGCAACGGTTTAGTCAGAATATCGTACTTGCACCTACACAAGAGACTCCTGCATGCGAATTTGCTTGGGCACGACCTCCGATCAAATTTTTTGCTTCAAAAGCCAATAACCTCTAAAACAACTGGACAAAATATATCTTTCACATCACCATGGAACCCCTCCATGATTATCGCCCTCAAACCGACGCGGAAAACACCATATCCTTTTACAAGCCCATATATCACACTATATCCATAACTGTGACGGCTTCCGCGTCATCTTTCATGACTTCCAGTCTCGTTTTATCGTTTAGAGCTTGTATTTCCGCACAGCTACACACCTCCGCCAGGGCAGAGACAACCTGTTCCGTGGTGGTGGTTCTGTAGCTATGTTCTCTTAAAATGCATACACAATCAACGTCATAAAGATGAGAAGATTTATGGATTCTAAATGATTCTAATGTGATTAATGGTATTGCCTAGTGACGAGCGAAGAGTTCTTGGAATTCTCGCAGAGAAGCTATAATAGTAACGAAAATTTGCAGAAAAAATGAAGAAGTTCACACAATCAGCCCTGCTCCATCCCAGAATACCGTAATCCGCAAATTTTCATATTTGGTCACAAAATTCAACTATTGCATATAGTCAAATCATTTTATATGATCATGTGTGTCATTGCACACCCAGTCCACCTTTGGCGTTCCCATCCTGGATTCGTGGGGGAAACAACTCTTCAGGCAAGTGTTTCCAAGGTATTCTTAGTATTTTCCTTTTTAGTTACTAGTCACCCCAAATTGATGTAATCGATAAAAAATCGGTAAGTCGCCTGCGTTTTTGCGATTGCAAATCCAGGATGAAGATGCCAAAGGTGGTGGACTAGGTGTGCAATGACACAAATGATCATATGAAATGATTCGACTGTATATGCATATGACAAACTGATTCTTGACCTCTGAAAATGCTAAAGGTTTCAGAAACCAATCTTATTTTTATTTATGGTTCGACGACATACTTTTGGGAAAATTGTAGTCAATGTTTACATCAATGGTTATGATTTCCAACTTTTTAACTCGACAACTCGATTTCGTTTCGATTAAAATTTCTAATATACATAGTTAAATAGTTAGTAGGACATATTGTAGGTCTGAAAAATACTTTTAGGCATATTTTTAGCAATTTTTGGAGCAAGACTTATGGATCAAATAGTACTGAATTTCACAATAAGCACTGATAAAGGATTTTCCATAAAATATACATGTTTCACAATGTTTAATCTATTTCTCCGCAAACATACCAGAACGGTCTTTTTTTCTTAGAAACAAAAGCAAGTTCCCATATTTTTTGCCCCGTTTTCGTAAATAACTTCTTTAGCATTATTCTGTGACATTCTTGACGAACACTAACATAAAATGATCGTAAAGTTTTTGTTCTTCGCTGAACGGCATCAAACATCCATCTATAGCTATAAACTAACTGAAATGTTGTCAAGAGCAGTTTTATGGTTCTCTTGAAATGCTTCTGTATGAACTCATCAAACAAAAACAGACTCGACTGAATTCTTTTCCCCCTCTTCCCCATAAATCGCCAATTCACATGATTTCCACGCTTTCTTCTTTACGATTTTCGCAGATTTCACGCCTGAGGCGATAAGCAAAAAATGTGGGAGCGGATCGGGTTATAAAGCATGTTTAGCGTAAGAAGAGTGACATCCCCGATCTCGCACCACACATCGACCGGTTCTTAGCCGATTGCGTCATATGTGGACTTAGCTATGGAATCCCAGACAAGCGCTTAGATACAAAAAACCGTTTTGCAGCCAGCGGCAGTAAGCACTTCGGATTCTTGGTCTGGATAAACCTCGCGCAATTTTGCTTCCCACGCGACCTGGCAATTCTCTTCCAAAACGCCTTTTCAAAACACAAAATGTGAAGCATTTCGTGACTCACAAATATTATAGATAATGTACATTTGAAATCTGCTAGTAATGTAAAAACGTCTGGCAAACTGCCAAATCGCGTGGCGCTGAGACCGCGCAAGGTATTGCCTTAGGCCTTAGGTGAATACTGGAGAAGTCCTTACAGTACCATGCCCAGATGGGCTCATAAGATCCATTCGTGGCCAAAAAATAGAATGCTAAACTCTCGCCTAGATCACCCAGTACAAAAGCAACATACCGTAACGCGCAAAAGGGATACGGTCTGGGTGAGAGTTCATTGTTCTATTTTTCAACCACAAATGGAGCGCATGAGTTGCCTATATAGGGCTTGATTAAGGCCGCTTAATCACCAACCATACAGGGAACCCAGGTATCCACATATCTAATCACTGCTTCCACTGACAACTTGTCCTTCAGGTGAGATCAAAAGAACCGTAATCAGGAAGGGCAAGAGAGATGCTGGCTTTTAGCACACTATTAGCAAGTTACTCGTTTTATAATGGTCTCGCATATTCCACCTTACAGCCACCTCATATTACACCAAATCTTGCTGCCCAAAACCTCACATTCTCCCTAGAACGAGAAAACTCGTCCAAGGCTGTTTTACACAATAAGCTATCATAAAAGGCACTAGCTGGCCACCTACTACCTCTATGTAGAGAAAGATGCGATCTAGACAACAAATGGCGCCACCTTGGCGCATGCTGTCGAAGATCTCATCAGAAATTTCAAGGAAGCATGTAAATGATTATTGGTCGTCAATGTCACATACTAAACGCAGAAAATCGTAAACACACTGATAGTAGGCTGCTGCATGTGAAAAACATACCAAAAGTATTTTGACGATGCCAGAAAGTCTACCCTAATTTCACGCGTACAGGGCGCACCTTTTTCGATTTTTCGACTAAGCACCTCAGTCGCTTTAAATTATTTCGGAAAGCGATCCTTATGCCATACGATTCTCTTAAGCAATATACAGCAAGGCATAGGGTCCTTTGGTTGCGAAGTTCTTTGGCGTATTTGGGCTGGTCGATTTTGGAATTAATCCCCCGCGCCTTGTACGCGTGAAATTATAGTAATAATTTCTAATTTCGTACACGGGAGCTTATCTAATCACTTACCAAGCCAAGAAATCCAAATAATCCCGAAGATTCGACGAGAGCAGTGCCAAATGCACTGCCGGATGTGGTACAGCCCAGCAACCGGGAAAAGCACTAGGTTTCGTTGGGTCACCAAACCCATAGGGTGCAAAGCAGCCAGCTGGATCTACCCAGCCTTTTCTCAATCCACCAGCTCCCCAGCGAGCATCAGCATCAGCCATAAGTCCACCAATCTGCTCGAAAAATTTCTGTTGTCTCCTTATATTGACCAACAACGATTGGAAGTACATGTAGACCTTCTTCACTATATCCTCACGCGACAAAGTGTGTCTTCTCTCCTCTTCTCCGGTCAATGAGTTCACCTCACTGCTCGAGCAGCTCGATCTCGAGCTAGCATCGCTATGCGGCATTGCCTTCTTTCGAAGTCGGCGGGACTTGCCGCGCGCGACTCGCGTAAATTGACCACCTCCACGACGTTGAGCGCATCGTACCGGCTCATCTTCGTCGGTGATGCTGCTCGTGGCACGGTCGGAACTCGCAGTCGTACTCGTGTCTGGTTCATATTTGAATTTTCGCACACAGCAATAGCCTGAGTCGCTTGAACCAGTAGAATAAGGCATCGACAGTGATACGAACAGTAAAGAATACGGGGCTCCTGGCGACTATAAAGGCGATAGTCGCGCGTTTCGTCCGTACGTAATGTGTTTGTTTCCTTCTTGCTCTTTAGCGAGAAACGATCCTTTCTGCAGAAGGAAAATGGATAATGGACAAACGATGGTGAAGATAACGAAACGGCAGAAGCGATGCACAGAAATATTGTGATAGATGTGTGGCAGGACAATAGGTTATATATGTCAGAACAATTCATGTCCATCAAATCAAATATGCGATGTGCAGAGAATAGAAAAATGACGCAAATGGATATATCTTCAAGCTCTACAAAAAAAAATTTATGACAAGAAAAGCCACATAATAATCAGTCCGAGAGGTTGGAACTGAACTACATGATGAACTGTGGTTTGAGTATGAGTGACTGTGTACTTTTGCTCTTTTTTAAGGAACGCCAAGATTATGGAATGAATAAATAAATAAATAAATTAATTAATTAATAAATAATGACATTGCTAATGATTTTCATAGATTTTACACCCGCAGTTATATCCTCAGCTCCCGCTGAGTTGAATTTCTATTGCACGAAATTCTATTTTCTATTTTTTATTCCAAATTGCACGATACAAATCACTGATTATGGTAAAGGATGCTTTCACACCGCTACCCTCCCTTCCTCCTCCTCTTCCCCCCTCCCCCCGATCATTCGCATAGTCGCCGATCTCAGCTTGAATGGAACTATAAATGTTATCTGTTAGCAAAACATTTGAAAGTATGAAGAATTATTTACAGTTCAATACAAAAAAGCTGCAATGTGGTAGCAGGACGCAGAAAGTTGCGACGTTTTTTTAGTCGACTTTTCGTTTTTTAAGGGTTATTGATATGGTTTGGGGTCAAAGGGGACTTCGTAAATTTTGGCGATCAAGGGGGATTCCGTTTTCAAAAA